GCAGGAGACCTGGCCACCGACTGGATGCAGGCCACAGCAGGGGCAGTATCAGCTGGTGTCACAGCAGCTGGAACCACCACAAGAAGGGTGGCAGCAGCTGAATATGCAACATCTGGGCCTGCAGCAGCTGGAACCGAAGCAGGATGGGCGGGAGCAGCTGGATATGCAGCAGCTGGGCCTACAGTAGCTGGAGCCACTGTAGCTAAAGCCACAGCCAGAGAGGCAGCAGCAGCTGGAGATGCAGCAGCTGGTCCTGCAGCAGCTAGAGTCACAGCAGCTAGACCCACAGCAGGAGGGGTGGCAGCAGCTGCAGATGCAGTAGGAGGGGCAGCAGCAGCTGGGCACACTGCAGCTGGGGAGTCAGCAGTTGGACACACTGCAGGTATGGCGGCAGCAGGTGGTCCTGCATCTGGTAGTCTGGCAGCACCTTTCTTCTTTAACCATTCATCTACTGATGGACACTTAGGTTGCTTCCATATCTTGGGTATTGTAAATAGTGCAGTGATAAACATAGAGGGAATACACTGTAATTTATTGAACCAGTCTCCCATTGCTGGACATTTGGTTTGTTTCCAGTCTTTTGATGTTATATACAGTGTAGCAGTAAGTTTGTTCATACCTAATTTCACACGTATTTTCTGAAAGGCAAATTCCTATAGAAATAGAATTTCTGGATCAAAGAGTATATACATTTATTCACAATATTTGTTAAATAATGCCAACTTCACCTTCCATGGGGAGTGTATCAATTTACCAGCAATGTGTGAGTGCTTGTATTTCCCCATTTTTATAAACACAATACACATGATACATAGTTACATGCCTAGTGACATATATTTATATATATATAGACATCTGTCTATTTTGGCTATTATGATAGGTCAAGAAGTTTTTCCATGTGATTTTAATTTGCATTTATCTTACTCTTTCTGTAAGTGAGATTGAGCAGCTCTTCTGAGGCTTAAGATCCATTGATGTTTCCTTTAGTATAAGGAAAATTATAGAAAATTTTCCATATTATCTGTACGTATTTATGTTTTTCTACTGAGTTTAGTTTTTATGCATCTATTTTTGCAGGAACTCTTTATATGTTATAAAAATTATCCTTTTCATCTAATGTGAATTTCAAATATTTCTCCTAGTTTGTCTTTCTTCTTTGACTTTGCTTATGTAGTTTTTGTCACACAGATGTTTACTTTTTGGTAGTCAAATTTATTGATCTCTTATGGCTTCTGGGGGTGGGGTCTTACTTTGAAAGGCCTTTCCAGTTGTAAATTTGCATAAATGTAGTCTCATAGTTTCTTCTGTTAAGCTCAGTTTCATGTTTTTATTTTCAAATATTTAGTATGTTAAGAATTTGTAGTTATAAAATATGAGGTTTAAATATTTTTAAATCTTATATGACCATAACCCAATGCCATTGATTAATACATTTTTCCCCTACTGATTTCAGATGTCCCCTTTTCATGTACTAAATTTCCTTATGTGTTTGGGTCTATTTCTGGATCACTTTTTTCAAGTATATTAATGGTTTTCATGCATTCATATTACAGTCATCAATGTATAGTATTAACTTGCTTTTTTTTGTTGTTGTTTTTGTTTGTTTTATTTTTAAATAAAGTTCGTTGGCAGTATTAACTTGCTTTTAATGGTTATCGGGTCCAAGCCAACCTGACTAGATTATGGCAATATGCTAGTGAACTCAACTATCTGTGTGGCAGAACAGTAAATGCATACTGGGTTCCCTGCTATAAGGATGTAAACTGTATCTGGCAGAACCCTGAAACTGGCAGTGTAAAGAACGCATTAGTCAAGTCTTTACGAGCGTACCAGTCTTGCTAGGCCCGTTTTGCTTCCTATAAAGTTCTTGTATATTAGTTAAAACTGAAGCAATCAGAGGAGTCACCTTATTTAATTGTGGAGAGGCCGCTGTTAACTTCCAGGAACTGTCTTCCCAAATACCGACCTGACAGGACTGTTAAAAGGGAGTTTGTGGGAATCAAAACTCTTAATTCAGCTGTTTCCATAATCAGAACAGTCATCTCTCATTGTCCTTCTGGAATTCTATGTTGCTTAGAATCTACTGCCTCAAAGGGCTTGAGCAATTCCAAAGGTACATACTTAACATGGCCAAATAAAACGAGGTGAAGGGCAGACAGTTAATGAGACATTCACTTAAAATCATCCCAACTGTCTACTCAGGTAAAGTTGATGGTACCACACAAGAGTCACACTTACCCATTCATAATGGTTTCTACCCTGTTTTTCTCCAACACAATATCTCCAATATCACTTTCAGGCCTTTTAGAGCATCACAAGTCTCTTGGATGAAATTACTGTACATTGAGCAACTGCATGTAATGATCCTAAGAGGTTTTGCATGGCCCCCTTTGGCTATTTCACCTCGTTATTACGAGCCCTGGATGCTGAGCTGTTGCTGGTTGCTTTCCCCAAGCTCTGTCTACACTTTTGTAAATGGTATTTTTATTACCCACATTCAGTATGCCATCTCATTCCCACAGTGACACTGTTCTTGCTCTAAAAACAAGAAATTATAAGCTTCATATACTTGAATACTGAAAAAGACAGTATAAAATCTATATTCTTTGATTTAGCTCTAGCTAATTAGGGCTGCACTCTGTAGCACATTTTAGAATAAGTTGAAAGGTAAAGCTGAAAATGTCTCTGAGACATTTCTATGATATACTAAGAATATAGCACACGGTCTATGTTAGATAAAGCCCATATTATGTCAATTTCTATCCGGTTTGTCTCTTGACACCTTAACACTTTCTTTCTTAATTTTAGAAATAACAATCATCTCTTAGTTACACTTGTTATTTGGAAAGATAACAACTAGTAGATAAAACTCTGATGGATGCAAAATTTGAATTTAAAATGTTTTGGTATACTTCAGATTATGAACCAGAGTTTATAAACCTTTATATTTACAGAAATGTGATGCAGTTGTATATATGGTGAGACATTTTCACGGCTAATGGGTTATCATTCTAACTCGAGTTTTGGTGAAAAGAAAACTGAGTCTCAAAGAAATATCCTGTGCGAGTTCTCTAAGGAAGACCAAAATGGGAGAGTAGAGCCATCAAGAATATGATAAATTTTAATAACATGAGAGGCAAAAATTATGAAGGAATTTCAGTCTGGAAATACTAAACTTTTGAGCATCTATTAATAAAAAAGTTTTTAAAATTTTTATGGAAAAGTTTGCATGGACTCCAAAACTTTCCAGAAATCTGGACTTAGAAGGTACACTTAGTATCCTGAAAGAGAATTTTATGTTTAGAAAGGAAAGAAGGAGAAATGAAGGAAGGAGGGAAGGGGGGAAGGAGGGAAGGAAGAAAGAGGGAGAGATGAAGTCGTTGAGCGAGGTAGAACACTCCAAATTCATACAACTGATCACAGAACACACTGGAAGTAGAAATACAGTCAGGTGAAATTTAGATGACTTCACAATGTTCAATTACTGGAGTTTTTAAGGGACATTTGAGACATATACCAAACCTTAGTTTTGCATTACAGAAGTCAGTGAAACAATTACACAGACTTTCCTTGCTGTTTGTCAAAGAGACCACTATGCTAAGGTAATATTCCGTCCAGAATAGTGTTTCAAAAACAATAAAATATTTACTGAGAGCCCCACCTGATGGTAAGTGTATTACATGGATTATGTCTTTGAACCTTTGAAGAATATAATGTATTATCCCCATTTCACAGAGAAAGAAAAGCTGAGACTTGAAGAGGTAAAATAATTTTGCCCATGTCCTACAATGAATGTCTGGTGGAGTCTCTATGCCAACATAAGTAATTGCCATTAAATGGGCTTGCTGGCATTTGAAGCAGGATGGTGTTTGGTATGAAATGATAGGTAAAAACACATACACATGCACAGGCCAAGTTATTAGCAAATCAGGAGAGTCAATATCAGGGAAAATGGCTATTTATTAAGAACATATGGAAACAATGTCATATGAGATCATTACAATCAATGTGTACTTAGGATGAAGACATTGCTGTTCTACAAATAGATGCATCTGGGCCTTAGTTAAAATCATTTGACAAATGTGTTTCATCTGTCATTTCCTTGAACTGGATGCCAAATCAGAAGAAGAGCTGGCAGCTAAGGGTCCATCTCCAGTCACTGGCTGGGTCCAACACATTTTAGATGACTTGTGAGAACATCCGTAGTGGGACAGAGATTATAGGGAGAGACTCAGCAACAGGAAGAAGCACAGCACATGGGGCGCGGGCAGGTGGAGATGACACAGGTTGGGCGGTAGCAAGTGGTGTGGCAGGAAACCCGGCCACAGACTGGACGCAGGCCACAGCCAGGGCAGCAACAGCTGGAGCCACAGCAGGAGGGGCGGCAGCAGCTGGAGATGCAGCAGCTGGGCCTGCAGCAGCTGGAGCCACAGCAGCTAGAGCCACAGCAGGAGGGGCGGCAGCAGCTGGAGATGCAGCAGCTGGGGCAGCAGCAGGTTTCCTGGCAAAGGCCGAAGCCACAGCCCTGGTCAGAGCAGACGGGGCCACAACAGGAGCTGACCATGGTGTGGGAGGGTGGAGGCTCTGGTTGGGTTTCTGTGAGAGTGAGGTTCTTGAGTTTGGGAGTCTCCTTATGCAGTGGCCTCTTATATACTGCCTGAACAAAATGGGCTATCAACAGGTTTTCCTTGTTTTTGTTTACCTAATATTTAAATACTTATCAGATTACACAGATTAGTGATTTAAACTTGTTGAAAACAAAATTTTCTTTTCCAGATGTGATCAAGTCTTTTCCTCCTGATTCATACCAGCTGGCTTCCTCTAGACTACACTCTCCTCATCTTCTTCCATAGAGGGCTGCCCTTTGATGTTGGCATTTGGAACTACATTTCTGACCCTCCCCTCCTACATCCCCGCCGGATGGGATTAAGGCTGTCATGTTTCTGACTGTGCACTTCTTCAAAGACCAATAGGAAGAAGCACCATGTGTATAGTATGACATCTGACCTGGGACAGGAGGAAAGGCCCTGTTTTATGGGTCATGTTTGATCAATGAGTAAGGGGAGACTTTATGTGTGTGTGACACTGGTGACCTCTAGTCATTGTAACGGGTTTCTCTGCATGTTTGTTTGGATCATGTTCTATATCCTTAAACCCCAGCAGGCAACTTCTCCACATGGTTCCTGTTGCACAACATCCCATAGTTTAAGTTGGTGCTTTGCTCTCGTGTGTTTGTGTCATATCTCTCCAGCTGGTCTCCTAGATTCTGGAAGACAGAGCCTTTCTTTTTATTCCTGATCTCATTCTTAATTAAAGACATTTCTCCAATGAAGTGAAAATGTTGAATAATCAGAAGGTGGCTTTCCTCAGACCTTACCTCCAGAGCTGGGAAATGTATAGCACAACTTTTTTGGATCAATTTGAAATGTGAATGGTTTTAGTCAATTCAACCTTATTTAATTACAATTTCTACTTATTCTTTACTGATATTCCAATTTGAGCATAAATCATCTGCAAGTCTTGTTAAAAATAATTAGGATATTCCCAGTTTCTGGAGCTTGAAGTTTTGCATTTCTAACAAGTACCCAGGCAGATGTTGATGTTGAAGGCCCAAGGCTCACACTTAGAGATCTACTACTTTATTCTGAACGCTCATTCAAGCTTTGAAGAATTGCCTGTATCAAGTTCCTGCCTTGTTCACAAGCAGATTTGCTGAGTGGATGATCTGAGATGCATTTGCCGGTCATTAAATGTGATTTAGAGTCTCCTCCCAGGGAATTTACAGTTTTCTGAGAAGACCACACACACCTGTAATATAATGTAGAAACACATCAGAGGAATTCATAGTAGTGAAATTTAACTAAAAAGAATTGTGCTTAAGGCAAATTAACCAATATGACAATTTGATATGTAGATTTATTTGTAAGTAAATATTTCCAGTCACTGTTTTTAATTTACTTTTTATAATTTATTTTACACTTGAGGTAAAATTTACATACACTAAAATGCACAAATCCAAAGTATACCATTTTGTGACCTTTGACAAATGTATACACATCTATATAACCCCCACACCTATCAAGATAGAGAACTATTTTACCAGAAAGTTCTCAGATCTCACTTCAGTAAACTCCCCACCACCACAGAGGAAAACACTATTTAATAATTTGTTTGTTTTTTTGCCATAGATTCATTTTGACCTAGAACTTCAAACAAATGATATATGGTATAATTTCTTTCCTGTCTGGCACCTTTAACCTGACATGTGTTTTTGGAAACCACTGATGTTTGTGCTTCTATCACTGGTTCATTCAGAGCTGTACTAAGAAGTACCAAGGCATGCTTTTAACTATTACCAATCATTTTCATGGACAAGTCATCCCTCTTTGTCCAGGACTGAGGGGGTTCCAGCTCAAGACTTTGAGTATTAAAATCAGGAAAGTCCCAGTCAGAGAGAAATTATTAGGTTATCCTCTGATAACATCTTTAAATACCTTAATTAGGATCATTTGGAGGCCAAGCCCTTTGTACTATTTTTATCACAATAACTTGCTTAGTAAACACTTGATTTATGTTTTTTTTTTATCTCATAGGCTTGTGTTTGCAGAGCTAGAGATGATGAGGCAATTGTGAGTTAACATGGTGTTCTCAGGGGAGAGATTTCACTTGATTTGCTCTATAGGAGATGCTGAGGAAAAAAACATAAAAAAGATTTTGATTACTAGGGGAGAGTTTTCTATATAAATTCAGGGAGATTAAGAAAAACCCTTTGTAACAGCAGCAAAGGCAGCATACGTTCTTATTATAGAGAAGTGTACAGAGAGCACAGCCCCTAGACAAGTGCCTCACAAAGTGGGCTGCATATTGGAACCACCTGGGGAGAGATTAAAACTACTGATGCCTGGCTCCTGCCCCCAAAACTCTGAGTTTAATTGATTCGGTGTGTATCCTGGGCATCTCAATTATTTACAGCCCCTCAAGTAATCTTAATGTACAGCCAAGTTTGAGACCTCTTTAAACTGTCTATATTACATGTATTAGTATAATATTAAGTTGGGAACAGAAGTAGCTAAAATATTAAAATAGAATTGGTAACTGTGGATAAAGTGAAGGTTCCTGTGGCCAGGATTCTCACCTGGCCCCAGTCAGCTAGCTCACTACACCTGTGTGGGCAATACGTTGCTATTGACTCTGTATAAAGAGCTCCACCCAGTACTCGAGGCCACATGGTGTCATGGTTGCATGGCTGCAGGAGAGCAGAGACTGGTGTGGTGGCAGCGTCAAGGACAGACTGAGACGGCAGGGTGGGCAGAGAGGCCCAGAGGCAGAGACCGGCTTGCTGCATGCAGACTCTCTCTGAGTGTACAGGATTCTAGTGATTGACCTGCCACCGTGGGAATAAAGTTGGGTTATAAACCCTTTCACCCCAAGAACATTCCATTGTCATTTTTCGGTCTCATTGAATCCATAGTGAACTTGCAAGTGAACTGAAACCCACTGGCAAGACAATTGGCAACGGTCAGCAGGATTCATTGTTGACAGAGGAATGGAACAGGCTGCCCTCCTGGGAGGAGTGGTTCCACGGGCTGCTCTATGCATGGGGAGACATTCGAGTGTCTGCAGTGGGCATGTGGTCTGATGTGGCTTGCCTCCTAGAGGACTGGGCCCCACCCCAAGACTGGGAAGGGGTGGGTGGACATGACACCTGAGGCAGCAGGGGTGGCCCTTGGTATAATAAATAAATCCTTTGAGAAACAGAAAGCCCGTGAGGCAGTGGGAACATTGGGAAGTTTTTTCCTCACAATATTGAGAAAGGCTCCAAGAGAGAGAGACGCCCTCCCGCAGGAAGCACAAGAAGAGGCAGCACAAGAACATGAGTTGCAAGGTGCTGTTGAGGAGGTAAAAAGTTTGTTGGTGACCGAAAATGCCATCACTACAAGGTGCTGGAGAAATGGTAGAAGATGATGTGGTAGCTGGAGAAGCAGCAGCACGAGGGCGCAGGCTGCCAGGTGACCGGGGGCAGGTGAAGGGTGTAGTGGAGCCGTCAGCCCCAGAAAGGAAGGAGTGGAGGTTTGACAAACAGGTGCGGATGGAGGCCCTGCCGGTGCTGGAGGCATCAGCCTCTCCTCGGTTGAAACCCCACCCGGTTGAAAGCTGGTGGAGAGCCAGAAAGAAAGATTCGGCAACCATGGGTTCCTCCGGGAGAGGTGCAGCCCCCTCCCCAGGTCATGGAGCACTCTGTGCTCTGCTTCCATCCTCAGGCTCAAGCAATGAGGGCACAAAAGGAAATACGGTCTGCTACTCAAAGGGAGAATTTAAAGGACCCCATGAAGGTCACGAGGACCCAGATGATTTGATAAACGCAGGAGCAGACAGGCAGAAATTGGGTGGAAAGTCAAATAATAGACTCTTACTGGAGCTGTGGCAATTGAAACCAGAGCAGTGGTTCTGGCTGCTGAGGACAAAGCAGAAGCCGGAGACAAAGTAACAAGACCAGCCTGTGTGTCTGCAAGACTTTCTACTGGGGAGGCTGGAGAAGGTGGGTATTGTAAGGCCCACCCATGGTTCTTCTGATAAACTCATGTGAGTAGGACTGGTTCAAATACAGCCAGGATGACTACTTGGTGGCAGTGGATATCCTCAGGCTTGAGGGTTATTATAATTTGTCATAATTTGTTATTTGTATATTGTATTATGTTATTGTGGAATTTGGTTACAATGTTCCAGCTTCCTCACACAGGGACCATTGCAGAGGATTGAGGGCGCATAGATTGAGAGGCAAGAATCCTGGAGGGGTGGAGTGTGGATCAAGTGAAGGTTCCTACGGCCAGGATTCTCACCTGGCCCTGGTTGGCTAGCTCACTACACACGTGTGGGCAGTATGTTGTTATTGACTCTATAAAGAGCTCCGCCCAGTGCTCTGGGCAACACGGTGGCATGGCCACATGGCTGCAGGAGAGCAGAGACTGGAGTGGTGGCAGCGTCAAGGACAGAGCCTGAGATGGCTGTGGGGGCAGAGAGGCCCAGAGGCAGAGACCGGCTTGCTGCCTGCAGACTCGCTCTGAGTGGACAGGATTCTAGTGACTGACCTGCCACCATGGGAATAAAGTTGGGTAAAAACCCTTTCACCCCAAGAATATTCCATTGTCATTTTTTCGGTCTCATTGAATCCATAGCTAACTTGCCTGGGGCTGAAACCCATTGACAAGACAGTAACATCTAAATAAAATGATCCTGAATTAGAAACACTACTTTGAGCAACTTCAGACTGAACCATAGATAATTCTGTTTACTCTTTTAGATCACTTAAATACCAAAACCAAAAGCCCTATGTGGATGAAAATGAAACTATGGGGCCTGGAGCACAATGGAAAATTACTATAGAAAGAACATGAGTTTTTTTCTTTTTTAATGAAAATCAAAACCAGAATAGCTATCAGTCTGTATATTCCTTGCTAAAATTTTTACCCATAGTCTAATAGAATTTATAAATAATATCGAGATCATAAACACAAATTATGTATAATCTACCTTAACTGTGCGTCTCTTGTTACATAGAGTAGAGGGAGTATAATTTTTCACTTTGGTATACTTTTTATTTTTAAACTACTTATTTTGTTGTTGTTTTAGAATTCTGTAATAAAAAGACCTTAATTAGGTAAACATCAAGGAAATTTGGATGACCCAATTGATATTCGCCATCACTGTCACTGAACGTGTGCTGTGTCTCCAAGGGAAACTTGGCACATCGTGTTGACATATCCTTTAAAGAACGGCATGCAAAAAAGGCTTTTCTTATCAGGTATGACATATGTTACTTTAATGCTCATCATTATTTTTATAAATGCCTGGAATGTATTTTATCTGTGGCTAAAACGCACTACCACTAGATAAATTATAGTGATTTACTGTGTAATATCTAAAGAGAGATATCAATAATAGGTATGGGTAAGTGATAAGGAAATTAACACATTTTCATTCAATTAAGGTCCTTCATACTAAAAATTGAATTCTATTAAAATATTTATGAGTACACATTAATCAATATTACCAGTTGATATTAAGTAGTATGTGTAACACAGCAATATTTAAAACAATATAAATGCCCATATACTATTAATTGATTTTCTCTTTGTTCTTTAACTATCTTTAATCACTGCTTAATCGGATCTTTCTTTTTAAATTTTAAATGACGTAAGCATTTCAGTTCACCATGAATTTATAAAAACTTATTATGAAATACACAAATATACTTCAAAGTGTATAAAACATATAGATACAATATAATAAATTAGGATGCAAACATCTCTATGCCCAAAGCCCAAGTCAAGAAATAGAACATTGCTATTATCAAGAGGGTCTGTGATAGGTCTTTCCTTGACCACATCTCCCTTCTTCCACCCTACAGATAGTTGTCCTAATTTGCTACTAGGTGTGCATCCATAAACAATATAGTTCAGTGTTACATGTTTCTGAATTTTATGTAAATGGAATCTTACTATATGTGTTTTGATTCTTTTAGTCAATATTACATAAAAGTTAGGATAGGCGGCCCCTCAGATGGCCCAGTGATTTCTGCCTATTGGTATTCATGGACTTACATAATTCCCTTCCGTCATGTAACTTGCTTCTAACCAACAGCATATGGCAACATCAAGTGGGTAAGTTATAAAAACAGGGGTTTAAGAGCAACCAGTTTATTTGAGAAGTGATCCTAAGAAGCATGGTTAGGGCACCTGGGAAGTGATCCAGGGACAGGATGGGAGCCAAAATATAATGATTACAACAGCAGATTACTCCCATAGGCAGCTGGGGCTCAATTCCACTAAAGACCTCTGGGGGCTGGTACAACATGCCCTGATTTGAGGGGGAAGAAGCCAGGGCATGTATCCACTGGCTCCTGACCATTGGTTGAACACTACCCCCTAGAGACTTTAACTCCTTCCTCTGGCCTGCCCAGAGCTTGCTCCTTCATCCAGAGAAAGTCTTCTGGCAGAGAGTTCCAGACGCTTGCTGTAAGAAATCATCTTCCTGTATTAGAATGAGGAGTGCTGAGGGGATAGAGGTGGGAATCCTGAAATCGCCTACTGCAGCCTGCTTTTTCTGCAGAGAAAGCTAACTACTGACAGCTAACAATGACAATTCAAGAAGGAAAAATAATGAGACATGGCACTCTTATGCATGGAAAATTAAGATTTATTTAAGATATAGGAACATCTCCATATGAGAAAAATCTGGCAGGGAGCAAATATATCAAGTGAGATGACATATTGCTTGACAGATTTCAGAGAAAGTTCAAACTTTGTGTTCATTTGGGAGAGAGTAACATGGTGGGGATGGGCAGGATATTTGGAGGTTAAACTCAGTTTAAGAATCAGTTGGAACTGAGGTTTTACCATTGGCCTGTCATGATTCATCTCACAGTTGGACTACATCAAGATTGGTTGATGGAAGACGGGTAGGTGCAAGCCAGGGCTTTGAGCAGCAAGAACCAGTAGAGCAGACTGCATGGCAGCAGGTGTTCTGGCAATAGCTGGACACACTGCAGCAGCTGGATACCCTGAAGCTGGGGCGGCAACACTAGGTTCTGCAGCAGGTGGTCTGACAGCAGCTAAGGCAGCAGCAACTAGAAATGCAGCAAGAGGGGCAGCAGCAGGTGGACACCCATCATGTTACAGAGATTATAGGCAGAGATTCAGCAGCAAGAGGAGGCACAGCACGTGGGGTGGGGACAGGTGGAGATGACACAGGTTGGGCGGTAACAAGTGGTGTAGCAGGAGACCCAGCCACAGACTGGACACAGGCTGCAACAGGGGCAGCAACAGCTGGAGCCACAGCAGCTAGGGCATCAGCAAGATGGGCGGCAGCAGCTGGAGCCACAGCAGGAGGGGCGGCAGCAGCTGGAGATGCAGCAGCTGGGCCTGCAGCAGCTGGAGCCACCGCAGCTAGAGCCACAGCAGGAGGGGCGGCAGCAGCTGGAGATGCAGCAGCTGGGCCTGCAGCAGCTGGAGCCACAGCAGGAGGGGCGGCAGCAGCTGGAGATGCAGCAGCTGGGCCTGCAGCAGGCTCCGCCACAGCTAGAGCCACAGCAGGAGGGGCGGCAGCAGCTGGAGATGCAGCAGCTGGGCCTGCAGCAGCTGGAGCCGCCACAGCTAGAGCCACAGCAGGAGGGGCGGCAGCAGCTGGAGATGCAGCAGCTGGGCCTGCAGCAGCTGGAGCCACTGCAGCTAGAGCCACAGTAGGAGGGGCAGCAGCAGCTGGGCCTGCAGTAGCTGCAGCCATAGCAGGAGGGGCGGCAGCAGCTGGACACACCACAGCTGGGACGGCAGCAGGTAGTCCTGCAGCAGGTGGTCTGGCAGCAGCTGGGGCGGCAGCAGGTCTCCTGGCAGAGGCCGAGGCCACAGCCCTGGTCAGAGCAGGTGGAGCCACAACAAGAGTTGACCATGGTGTTGGTGGGTGGAGGTTCTGGTTGTGTCTTCAGGAAGGTGGGTTTGGAAGGTCTGGAAATCTCCTTGCCCAGTTCCCTTTTTATACCCTGCTAAGGAGCTGTTGTCATCAAATACAGCATTCTTTCCTTGTCATTGTTTGTCCTAATAAATAGGCAATTATCAAATAAGCCAAGTTTGTTTTCCTGGTTAAGCTTTTCAAAACAGATGGAAAACATTGTTTCCTGTCCCGATATGTTAGGGTGCATCCCATCAGCTCTTCCTGAATCGCTTCTCATGTGCCTCTCTTGCTTTAGCTTCCTCAAAGAAAGCTGCCATAATGATACAAAGATGATATATGTGTTAGTTTCATTCTGCATGGCATATCATGGCTGCCCCTGCATGAGAATGATTCTTACCTGTTCACATTCCTTTTGGTGATCTGGGAGGATAAAGCTGCATTTTAATGGCTCGTTCATTGTGTATCAGGTGGGCAGAAAAGTTTTGAATGTGAAATAGAATCACTAGCATGAGAATAAGAAGACTTTGAGGGCACATCCCTCAAATCATAACCCCTTTTCTAGACTTTCCAATGAGAAACAAATAACTGTTCTGAGGAAGAAAAGTAAGTCATGAAATTTTGATGTTTCCTTTTTTTCTCTTGGCTTTATTGAGGTATGCATAATATACAAAAAGTTGCACATGGTCAACATTTATATTTAATAAGTTTGGACATAATACACACAGCTGTAATACCATCACTACAATTAAGGTATTAGTTATATCCATCACCTTCCAAAGTTTTCTGTGTCTCCTTGTTGTGTGTGTGTTTGTGTGTGTGTGTGTGTGTGTGTGTGTGTATGTGAAGATGTGCATGTTAAGAGGATAGATCTTGTGCTAGGTGTTCTTAAGGTTTAAAGTGCATCATAATGTATTGTTAACTATGGGCACAATGTTGTACAGCAGATCTCTAAAATGTATTCATTTTGTGTAACTATAACTTTATACCTATTGACAGCAACTACTCCTTTCCTCTCCCCATGGGAACCACCATTCATTCTCTGCTTCTATGAGTTTGATGATGTTAGATATCTCATATAATAAAACTCATAGAGAATGAGAATAAAAAGTGGAATCATATAGTATTTATTTGTCCTTCTGTGACTCACTTATTTCCCTTAGCCTAATGTCTTCCTGGTCCACCCATACTGTTGCAAATCGAAGAGTTCCTTCTTTTTAAAGGCTGAGTAATATTCTATTATGTGTATATACTGCATGTTTTTTTATCCGTTTGTCAATAGACCTTTGGGTTATTTCCATATCTTGGCTATTGTGAATAATGCCACAGTAAACATGGGAGTGCAGATATCTCTTCAAGATCCTGATTTCAGTTGTTTTGGATGTATACCCAAAAGTAGGATTGATGGATTATATGGTAGTTCTATTTTTAATTTTTGAGGAACCTCCATACTGTTTCCCGTAGTGGCTACACTATTTTATATTCCCACTAGCAGTGTACAAGGATTCTAATTTCCCCATATGCTCACCAACACTTGCTATCTTCTGTTTTTTGATAAGAGCCATCCTAACAAATGTGAAGTGATATTTCCTTTTTCTCTGGAACTCAGCTTTAGGACTTCTTAGGGGAAGGTGGCTGCAGAACTAGCTAGAATTTCTCTATCCAGCTGTATTGTAAGGTTCAGGTCCCTCGTTTCTGTGCGGGGTTGACCTTCCTTCTGACCCTGACTTCTTGTCTTCCTGGCTTTCCCAGGGTATGTTGGTTCTCCCCTCTGTTTCTAAGGTTCACCAACCCAAGTCACGTCGCCTGGTGTCCCTGCCTGTGGCTCTAATCCACACCCTACCATCTTGCTCTCTCTGTTGAATCGCTGTGCTCTGAAGATGCTCTATACTCTTCTGCTTCATTGATCAGATTTTACTCTCTAGGTCTTTATTTTGTAGAAAGGAGACAGAAAATGAATATCCAGATCAAACAACATCAGCCTATGTATGTTCTCATAGTGGGGATGAAGTAAAAGCTTATAGGGTGCAAAAATGCCGAACCAAATGACTAGCTAACTAGTTTTCAAACAATGAGTACTGCCAGCTCACTGGGTAGCTTTCAGCACATTTGTACCCTTGGGGATTGAGGAAAACCAGGGAGGGAGGAGAATACGTACTGAAAAATCCCGTCTTTGTATTTTGTTCTCCCAAATATGTGTCACTTTCAACTTTAGGATGGTTTTTGGGTAGCCATTCCTGTCCTGGACTGGTCTTTCTGAGGCCAGAGCCATGGACAGCTGAACTTCACTGACAGTCTCTCGATAGTAACGAAATTGGTAAAGAAAAGACACAGGCGTTTCACATGATAGTAATCTCAGTACAAGTCCCCACTCACTGCCATTAACACCAGATTAAACCCTGAATGCAAACACTGATACATTAATGGAGGGTGGCATTTGAAAAGGAAGAGCAGCTCCTCTCTGAGCATTCAGAACACATCTGGAAAATGCATTTAGTTCCAGGCCACATAAGAAGAATAAATTGAGGTATATTAAAAGTAAAATTGCTATGATGGTGACATCCTGCCCAGTGAAAAATAGATGAAAAAACTTTGGAAATATAGCCTAAAGAAACCTGGGGGGGGGGAAAAAGGAGACGTGTGAGAGACTAGACTTGCCCCAAATGGCTGCAATGGCTGATACACATTAAATGGGGGGCTCATGGAGAGAAACAGATTTTGGCTCACCAAGGGGAAGATGCTGTACGGAATGGCCTCCTCTACGCATAGTAGAGGTATTTAAGTGTAAGCTGTGTTGCAGAGGAAAACTCAAGAACCAGATGGAGGCGATTGGATGAAATGACTTTGAGGATCCCTTTCTACCTTAAGGGACTTACAAGCCCTAATTAACCAAACTCCTCATGATGCTTTTTTTGGTCCTAGCCGGTTTCTCCTCCTGCCCTGGCGCTAATTTCTAGGCTGACACAACCAGGATGACAACAGTGTAGGCTCCCCACTGGACCTCAGCTTGGAGGTTGAAGTGGTGTTTCTGAGCCTGAACTGTGTGTGACTGATGAACCCAAATAGAGCATCTTCTTGGAAAGGTCCTCAGCCACTTCTTCTGTCACAGGAAAATGAGGGAACAAGAGCAGTTTCCAAGTTGTTTTGGGAGCAAAGGTCCTGGAGAGCTCCACTATGGCATAGAAGAAGAACTCTGAGGTTTCCAGAAGACCTGGGATTGGGGAGGAAAGAATGTCCCTGAGGAGCCCTGATGACTCAGGCCTACTGATGACTCAATAAAGATATTTTTTATTTATAATGGCTATTTTTTTCCTTTATGGTGTGTGTGTGTGTGTATGTGTCTGTGTGTATCAGGATAAGCTGTAGATTATGTTTGGAAATCCCTCATGATTTCTTCTAGTACCTTAAGTTGCATTCTTTTTTTTTCTTTGAGAGCAAGAAATAAACTTTTATTGTTACGTGAAACCACTGACATTGTGGGATTGATTTGTTACTGCAGGAGAATAAGCTCCTGAACACACAGTGTTGTGTGCACCGAATCCTCAGGGCTCCTGGGTGGGGGAGTCTTCTTCCAGGAGGGCCTCCTGGCCTCTAGGAGCTGCTTGTTCCTCCTTTACAGCAGGCAGAGCTCCAGCCAGGATGATGGGCTGGGAGGGCGTCTGTGTCTCTAAAGTGGACCCTGGCTCCACTGTGGGGGGCCCTGGATGTGGGACCCTGTTCTTCAGAAACCCAGACGGGAACAAGGTCCTGGTGTTCCATAATTTGGCTTGACTTTGATAATGGACTTCAGGGTACACCAAGAATCAGAATGCAGTCACTCCTTTCCATAGATGGATTAAAGAGAGCTCTGATTCCAGTAAATGCCGCCCAACAGCAGGGCTTTTTTCTCCTTGGAATGGGGATACTTTCCGTTGAATAGTCAAGACCCGCCACGCTCCCTCCCTGTTCATCGCCGGCCCCAGCACCTCTCCTAGGACAAAGCCCCAGAGGAACCAGTGGGGCAGCAGCCAGGGCTTCCCAGACCGTGGCCATCTGCAGGGCTACTTGATGTTCTGACAAACACAGGACCGTGCAATATGCTGGGCCAGTGTTTGCTTAGAGAATGTATTTCTACCCAAAGAAAATGCCTGCTTTTCTATCTGATCCAGAGTTTGTGAGGACTTGTGGTTTAAAAGACATTTAAACCACAAGGGATCTATAGCGCAGCTTCCTTGCCCATTAAAAGGGCTCGCTAGAACCTAGCCTGGCCATGCCAAAGGGTAGTTAAGAGGGATAAGGTGAAAGGGTCTTCCTCAGGCATTTTTCTCCCTGCAGGTAACAGAAAGCCCTGCTAGAGTACCTTCAAGTCGAGAGGTTTGTTTCCCCCATTACCAGAAAATGTGAGGTTGATTATCTCAGGCTCAATGATATTGTACGCAGGGTCAAAGTGTCTTTCCCTCTTTCATCTCAGCCATCTTTAAGCATGCTGACATTTGTCTTCATGCTTATTGCCTTATGTTCCCAAGATGGCTGCTGCACCTCACACCTCACATCTGTGTCCAATGCAGGAAAAAGGGATCAGGACAGAGGCTTTCTCTTAGTGGGACATTGTTTTTTTCTTTGGCATGGACAGTCCTCCCTATAGATTATTCCTTGTATCTCACTGGCCAAAACTGAATGAAATGCACCCATGCCCTCACCAATTTATCACTGTCCAAAAGAAGCAAAATTGCTATGGCTGGTTTAGACCAATAATAATCTATCCCCTGGTCTCGGGAAAGAACTTATCCTTCTTAAAAACAGGAGATGTCCACCTACCATCTAAAGAAAGTGGGGATGGGGTAAGAGAGAAAGAGAGGGAATGGGGGTGCAAACTATAGGGAGGCAGTGGAAAGCATCTGCTATAGAACCACAGAGTGGGAGTCAAGTTGTAGCCCTAGTTCTCTGCATTGGAGCTGCTGTGTGGCCTAGGTTAACAGCTTCATTCTTATATAGAGTTTTTCATCTAAATGAAATTTGCTTTTATTTAGTGATTGAAATAGTATCTCTCCTTCCTTGCCTTTCCTTTCCCTCCCCTCTTTCTTTCTCCAAAAGTTAACAAGTTGTCCTGGACTTTAAAAATAATCCTTTCTTCTTTAATGATTTTAAATTGCCACTTGTATTAATTCCTATAGGCTTTTAGGTCTGTTTCTGGACTCTATGCAGTGTCACACCTTACTGTTTGAAAGTCACTCTAATGTGACTTTCAGTTCTTTGAATCTGTACATTTATGACTATTTTTTTCAAATCTCTTTCACTTGACCATTTGTTGTTATCCATGCTTCCTCCTACCTATGTTCATGTTTTTATTTTAGAATTCATAATAGTTCTCTGATTCAGTCATATGAAATCACTTTTCTGAATATTCACTTTTATAGGATATAGTCAATAACCTTTGTGCTCATTCAAAGGATAGAACTCAAATAACCAGGCATACATGCCCAAAAGATAACCTGCCTGAGATAAATTATGGGTTAGGAAAGTGATACAGAACTCTTGGAAGATTATTTTTCCCTACAGCTATATTCACAGATTATTGATAAATCCCACCTATACCCACTATATGTTGAATATAACTAAGTAGGCTAAAGAAATAAATACAACCTATATTTCTATACTTCCAGCAACATATTTTACCTGCTTCATGCCTGTGTGCCTTTCAAAATCTGAGACATTAACTGATGGTAATCCAAGAAAGTGATATTTGATTCCCAGAAGAAAAGAGCGATTCTTTTGCAAAAAAAAAGGAGAGTAAAATATCAGAACGGTTTAATCCAAGAAGAACATAGATTTATGATGAAACTTTTAAAAGCCATAAGAATAAGAAATACAGAAAATAAAGGCAAATTTACTAAATCCAAGAGTATTAGCATTAGACCAGTATGTCTTACAACTTAAAAGTAACCAGTTGCCCCTCTCCTGGTGAATAAACCAGATGTCCCTCCACAGGTGAATCGCTGAACTACCCAAACTGGGATACATCTATACCTTAAAATTCTCCTCAGTAATAAAAAGGAAAAAACTATTTATAAACTGAACAACTTGCATGACCTCAAGTGAATGATGTTGAGTATAAAAAGC